AATAGTTTCTAATGATCCTCTGGATTTCAAAAATGTCTGTGGTGATATTTTTATCTATAATTTTTATTATAATTTTGTTAATTTAGATTTTTTTTTTCTTTCGGCTGGTTTGTTTAAAGGTTTATCAATCTCATTTACCTTTTTAAAAAACCAACTCTGTTGTACTGATCCTTTATATTGCTCTTTTATTCTCAATTTCCTTAATTTCAGCTCTGATCTTAATTACTTCCTATCTTCTACTGATTAGGGGATTAATTTGTTCTTTCTCTAGAATCTGGAGGAATAACATTATTTATTTAAAATCTATTTTTTAAATATAAGTACTCAATGCTATAAACTTTCTTCTTAGAATTGCTTTCATACTGTTCCAGAGATTTTGATATGTTGCACCTCTGTTCTCATGTTTCTAAGAATTTTATTTCTCCGCTGATTTCTTCTATGATCTGCCTTCAAAAGTGTATTATTTCATCTCCAGTTGTTAAAATGCTTTTTTTTTATCTTGTTATTGATTTCTAATTTTATTCCATATTGATCTGATTGGATGCAAGGATGTATCTCTACTCTTTTTCATATTTGCTAAAACTTGTTTTATGTTCTAAAATATGGACTATTTTAAGAAAGTCCCAAGTGCTGCTGAGAAGTAAATTTGGTTGTTGATAGAAAAAAAATATTCTATAGCTGTCTGTTAGATCCATTTGTTTGATAGTATGTAGTTCTAAAGAGTCTTTACTTAGTTTATGTCTGCATGACCTATTTATTGGTGAAAGAGGTGTGTTGAAATCACCCACTATTAAGGTAGTGTAGTCTATYTGATTCTTAAGTATAGGGTATGTATGTAGATGCATCAATGTTTGGGGCATAAACATTTACAATCAGTATATCTTACTGTTGGATGATTCCCTTAACTAGTATTAAGTGACCTTAGTCTCTTCTGATTTTTTTCCGCTTTAAGTCTGTTTTGTCTGATATGAGAGAGGCTACCCCTGCTTACTTCTGTTCTCCATTTACATGGCATATCTTTTTCCATCCTTTCTACTTCAGCCTGGATGTCTTTGCCTGTAAAATGAATTTCTTAATTCATCCCACCAATCTATATTGATTAGAGAGTTAAGACCATTTATATTCAGTGTTATTCTAAAAAGATTATTTTTATTTCCTATCATTTTGATTAATTTTGAATGTTTAATTCAGCTGTGATTTTCTGTTAATTAACTATTCTTGTGGGATTCATCCGTATGCTGGCTATGATATTTATTTTCCATTTCTTCTGCATGAACTATTTCATTGAGTATGTTTTGAAGTGGTTGTGTGGTTATGAATTTTTTTAGTTTATGCTTATCCTGAAAGGTTTTTATTTCATCTTCCATTCTGAAGGATAGTTTTGCTAGCAAAACTATTTTGGTTGGCACCTGTTTTCTTTCAGAGCTTGGCCTGTATTATTTGAAGCCTTCCTGGCTCTAAGTGTCTGGGCTAAGAAATCCATAGAATTCTATCTGGCTTATCTTTAAATGTGACCTGCCATTTTTCTCTTGTGGTTTTAAAAATTGTGTCTTAGAATCTTTTTTTTTTTTTAATCTTGGCTATTTGGAGTTCTAAATGTCTTTTCTATTTGGATTTGCATTTCATTCCTAAGATTTGGAATTTTTTATGATATTACTCATTGAAAAGGTTGTGTATTCCTTTAGTTTATATTCTGGTGCTTTCTTCTATGCCAATGATTCTTACTTTGGTCTCTTAGTGTTACCCCAGACTTCTTGAATGTTTGGGCCATGTTCTCTTAACATCTTTTTTTTTTTAACTGTCAACCTTATTTTCAAGATTAAACACTTTGTTCTCAAGACCTGAGAATCTATCTTCTGTGTGTTCTAATCTGTTGGTGATTCTTTCAACTAAATTTTTAGTTTTTTTGAGTCTTTCATTTGAAGGACTTGGTTCTTTTCCAGAATGAATTATTCTCCCTCCCTCCCTGTCTCTTTTTGAGATATTTGACTTCTGTATTTTCTCTGTAAGTTCATTACTTACATCTTCTTTTAGCTCATTGAACATTTTAACTATGAAATTTCTGAATTKTTTCTCCAATATTTCCTCCACTGGGGTTTCAATGGAATCAGTTGTTGCAGTGTTGTAGGCTGTTTGGAGTGGTTCATTCCCTTGCTTTTTCATATTGCTTATATGTCTACCCATCTTCTGGGATGAATATCCTTTTTATTTTTATACAAATAACTATTTAGTGAGCTTCCTTCTCTTAAGTGCCCTAACTGGGCAAATATTCAGGCAGTTATACTTTCACTCTATGTGTATCTTCTGCTGTTCCTAGTATCAGCATCACTTTGAGAGAAGATACTAAACCCTATTACCTGCAATCACTTCAGAGCAAAGCCATGTATTGATAACCTTTAGAAAAAAAATATTCTCCACAGTTCCTCTAATCTGTATGTTCTGGAATAGGTTGAGAAATTAGTTATTAAAGGTAGTAAATTTACTACACTATATAGGGGCTGAAAGGAGGAGGAGAAATTGGTCAAAGGGAAAAAAAGAGAAAAGAATAATATAAACCAAGATAAAAGGATCAGTCTTAATCCAACTTAGTCCTGTCTGGGATTGATATTACCAGCTCTTCCTTTCTCTACAGAAAGGAAAGGGAGACCCTTCTCTGTTGAGAGAGTATACCATGTGGAWTGTCTACTTTTGTTTTTACATGATGTCCAACAAAATAAACTACTAGATATATGCAGAGGTTGTAACTGGATGAAAAATCAGCTGAAGAAAACAAACATCAAAGCAGACCAGATATTCAAGATATTCAAGGTACCAGGCAATGGTTTTAAAATAAGTCATTAACACATTCATGAAAACAAGATACACAAAATGAATGAAAAGATTCATAATTTTAATAAGGGAAATATATTAACAAGAATCAAATGGACATTCTAGGAAAATATACTGTCTGAAATTAAGATTTCATCACAAATTCATCTCATGTATTTAACAGGAGAATGGATACAGAATAAAACAATTAGGAAACTTGAAGACAGTCAATGAAAATGATCCAAAATTGAGCACACAGGAAAAATTAAACATGGGAAAAAAATAGAACAGAAGGGGGGGAAAAAAGGTATGTAGAAGTAAATAACAACAACAACATATTTATGACTGGATTCACAAAAGAAGAAAAAGAGAATTGCATAAAAGCAATATTTTTAAATGAACAGTTCTAAAACTGATTTAAAATATCAATCCAACAGTTTCAGTAAGCCCAGAGAACCATGCAGAATGCCTTGTGGGGTTTTTGTTTATTTTGCCATGTTGTCCAGGTTGGCCTCCAACTTTGGGTTCAAGCAATCCTCAGTGTCCCAAGTAGCTGGAACTACAGGGTGGGCACCACCATACCTAGCTAGATATTTTTTTTTTTTAAATCAGACTCTAGTCAAGAAGTTTGCAGATATTATTATAAGTGGACAAATAGGTTTTACTTAGGATACACAGGTGTTCAGAAGAAGTCAACTGTACAGGGAAATCTATGATGAAAGAGTTTTTATGTATTTCAAAACCTGCAGATCAATTTTAGAAGAGTGTAAGTGCTGGGAAATTGTGTCAGATAAATAGATGTAAAAAGATAGAAAGCGAAATGAAATTCACCTTTACACTCTTTTAGGGGAAGTGGATAATGAATTTAATATGTCTGTGTAGAGCCCCGGAAGACAATGTTCTCTTCCACCTGCTGGTAATGGAGGAGCAGAAGTGGTGAAGGATTCCTCAGAAAAAAAAATCAACTTAGGCAATGGGGTACACTTGTACTTAACATTTTAATAAGTACTCCTAAGTTACCTTTCAACAAGGAAGAGGGCTGTAACAAATGGCCCTCCCAACCACACAAGAAAGTCAACTACCCTCAGTTGGGCTCTTCTCTTTCCTTCCTTAGGTATCTCTCTCCCTCATTCTCCACTGTTACTTTGCTCAAATCTCCTCCTGCACTCCTCCCCCATCCCTATCCAAACATATACCTTCTTGACAAGTATTTCACCAGCAATTTGCAGTGAAAATTAAGTCGCCAAAGAACTTTCTCTGCTTTCTGTCCCTAAGGGTACAAAATCTTCTATTCACCCTCATACTATCCTCCTACCCATCAGTTTAAATGCTGGGGCGGGGGGGGGGGGTAGTCCCTCCTGTTCAAAGGCAATCCTGATTGTGAGCATCCTTCTCCACAGGCTCATTCTGAGACAACCCCAGAACCCCCTAGGTGATCACGGCCCACTCCCTCCTTCTTAACACACTTTCCTGATTTTCCTCTGGTCTCTGGCTTTTTTTTTTTTTTTTTTTTTCATTCCTTCTCCTGTCCCTTAGGCTCTTGTTCAAACCTTAAAAGTTGGAGTTTGGGGTTTCCGCCCTGGGCCCTGGGAGATGTCACCCACTATCTCCACCCCACTCCTTATCTTCAGCCATTACTACCCTACCGCCTTTGATCAATACCTTGGGTCCAGACCAATTTACCTAAATTTGACTTCCCCCTCTCCAATTCCGCGGCTCCTTCCCGCCACTCCTCCCAGCCCCTATTGGAGGAAGTCTTCCCTGACTCCTCCCCTTTCCACCTCCCCACGCCGGACCCGGGTCCGCAGTCCAGTGGCTGCAGTACCTCGCAGATCTGAGGAATGTAGTTTTCCTTGAAGTAGCTCCTCAGCCTGGGGCTGGCAGTGCGTAGAGAGGACATGGTCAGAGGCCGGGCAGAGAGGCTACGCTCTGTCTCCCCACAGCGCCCCGCGCCTCCGAGCTGCTCAGGGAACGCTGACTCGCTGCGACCATGCGTTGCCCGGCAACCACTGGGCTGGTTGCGGAGTCGCGCGCAGCCCGCGTCCCCACCAGGGGCGGGGGGGGCAGTGAAAGGCGGGGCGGTGAGGGGGGGCGGTGAGAGGGGCGGGTCTAAGGGGGCGGGCCTCCTGCCCAGCGGGCTGAACTAGGGAATGAGCCCCAGTAAGTGTCACCCGGACGCAGCGACGCAGCTTCTCCAGGAGTCAGCTCCCCGCCCCGCCTGGTGGAAGCTCCGGGGACCAGCGGGGTCGAGTGGGAGGGTTTACGATTTAACAGTGCCATTTCCGGGAGGCGGAGCTCAGGCACCCATTTTCTTTCTCGCTGCTGAGCCTCAGTGCTTTGGAGACCCCACGTCGACCCCCTTGAGCAGCCTGTCCGGGCCCGGCCGCAGCATGGGCGGCGCGCGGGACGTGGGCTGGGTTGCGGCAGGCCTGGTCTTGGGCGCCGGCGCCTGCTACTGCGTTTACAGACTGACCCGGGGCCAGCAGCGGGGTAGCGGTGGGCGCCGGCTTCGCCCTTCGCGGTCCGCAGGTGAGGTCGCGGGGTGCCCTGCAGATGGTTGGGTAACGGTACAGGGGCCATCCCGGGCCAGGATGGAGGCGAGGACTCCACGACTTGTGTGGTTTCCCGGTCCTTGGAGTAAAAGAAAGGGCCGAGCTAGAGAGAGAGGAGTGGCTAGTGAAATGCGCGGGGTCCCGAAGCCCRAGAGACGATCCGCCCTGCCACCTGGGCTTCCCAGCTTCCACTTCTTTGTTCAAAATCTGGAGTTGGAAAATTTGCCCAAACTTTTGTACTTGCGATCGGCGACATAGCAGAAGACCAGGTTTCTCAGAAAATCAGGAGAGGTTTCAAAGCAACCTGTGCGTTGCTTTGCCTGTCATTTTAAAGCTTATTCTGGGCCTTTGGGTTACCAAAGGCAGACCCCGATCGAGGGAGGGGTGTTGGGGCCCTGGAGCCCTAGAGGGAAGTTTGCAGCTGCCTGATAGAATCAACACCAAAGGGGCAGTTCTGCCCTCACTTGGCCCAGCACACAACTCTTCTTTCTAGAGTTGCTTGAGGATTAAATGAAGTAAAATATGTAAAGTGCTTACTGTCAAGATGATCCGCCGTCTCGCAATTTGGGAATGGGGGTGTGTATTGGTTATTGGAATAATTGTCAGCACGAGGCACACTCCCCCAGCAGACAAGTCCATGATGAGGTTTCTGTCTAAAAGTTGATTAAATCCGTACATTCAGAATTCTAACAGCCTGCTCTTGGTCCAGATCATGGAAACTTTCGGAAAATAATTAAAATCTGCCAACCAAGAAACTCTTCCGCAGATGTAATGAACCAAACAGCTTTATTATTGAGTAAGCATTAAGACATATTGCCTCGAACATCACAGGCAGTCTACTAATGGAATTCCAAAACAGAAGGCTCACCTCTATAACGGGCCATATACAACTCAAGATAAATAATAGCTTGTCCTTAAGAAAGAAAACTTGACAGCACTGTTTGTTTTTACATCACAGATTCATTGATAAATAGGGTGGTTATGTGTGTTAACTAGTTGCCTTGATCCAGAAAGGGGGGGACCTTTGTGATAAGCAGGTAGTTAAAAAATGGAAGCAGGTGCCTAAGCTAAGATCGCCTCACAGAACTGAGGGGATCGGGGTTCAACTTGAATGTTTCCATTTCAAGGTGATGGCTCCCAAATCTTTAAGAATAACTGTCCTTGGATTGTAAAACTGGCATTTGCTTTTTTAAAATTTACATTTCTATCAAAGGGACAAAGGATTTAAAATTACAAATTTGCTCAAGGAAATGTTCTAAGAAAAGTGAGTTGGGTGTCTCTTGTCACAAGGAAAAGTGATTGAGGTGTGTATTTACCCTTAGCCTAATTTGTGGACTCTTGTGTCAGAGGTATTTCTGTGTAAATAATTGGGGTGTTTACCTGGACCCAAATATCTTCTCACTTATCCTGATTCAACCTGATGAACTCTGACAATGTTTAGTTTTTTGGACAAAAGGGAATGAATCATTACTTTAGGTCAGACAACTTTAAAAATAAATTGCTCAGAGTCCTTTCTTCCTGAAACTACACCTCTATTTTTTTTTATTTGTTCTTTTTAGATATACATGACAGCAGAGTGTTTTTTGACATATTATAAATACATGGAGTATAACTTATTCTAATTAGGATCTCATTCTTGTGGTTGTACATAATGTAGAATTTCACTGGTATTGTATTCACACATGAACATAGGAAAGTTATGTCTGATYCATTCCACTGTCTTTCCTATTCCTATCCCCCATTCTCTTCATTCCCCTTTGTCCAATCCACTAAACTTTTATTTTTTTCACCTCTTCCCCCACCCCTTGTTGCGTGTCAGCATCTGCATATCAGAAAGAACATTGGACCTTTGGTATTTTGGGATTGGCTTATTTCACTTAGCATGATAGTTACCAGTTCCATCTGTTTACCAGCAAAAGTCATAAAGTCATTAATCTTTATTCCATTGTGTATATATACCACATTTTCTTTATTCATTCATCTGATGAGGGGCACCTAGTTTGGCTCCATAGCTTACCTATTGTGAATTGTGCTGCTAAAAACATTGATGTGGCTTCATCACTGAAATATGTTTATTTTAAGTCCTTTGAGTATATACTGAAGAGTGGTATAACAAGGTCAAATGGTGGTTCCATTCCTAGTTTGTTTGTTTGTTTTTAGCAATCTCCATACTGCTTTCCAGAGTGGTTTTACCCATTTGCATTCCTACCAGCAAGGTATGAGTTTACCTTTTTCCCCCACATCCTCTCCAACAAATACTGTTGCTTATATTCTTGATTATTGCCATTCTGACTGGAATGAGATAAAATTTCAGTTTTAATTTGCATTTCTCTAATTGCTAGAGGTGTTGAACATTTTTTCATTTATTGGTTGATCATTTGTATTTCTTCTGTGAAGGTAATTTGTTTTTTGGTGTTAAGTTTTTTGCGTTCTGGATATATTCTGGAGGTTAATGCTGTATCTGAAATGCAGGCAGCAAATATTTTCTTCCATTCTGTACCATCTCTCTTCATGCTCTTGATTGTTTGCTGTGAAGAAGCTTTTTAGTTTGATATTGTCCCATTTCTTCTTTTTTTTTTTTAAAGAAAGAGTGAGAGAGAGAGAGAGAATTTTTTAATATTTATTTTTTAGTTCTCGGCTGACACAACATCTTTGTTGGTATGTGGTGCTGAGGATCAAACCTGGGCCGCACGCATGCCAGGCGAGCGCGCTACTGCTTGAGCCACATTCCCCAGCCCCATTTATTCTTTTTTTTWAAAAAAAATAATTTTAGTTGTACATGGACATAATACCTTTATTTTATTTATTTATTTTTATGTAGTACTGAAGATCAAACCCAGGGCCTTACATATGCTAGGCAAGCACTCGAACAATAAGCTACAACCCAAAACCCCATTTGTTGATTCTTGATTTTACTTATTGAACTTTAGGTGTCTTTTTGAAGAAGTTGCTTCCTAAGCCATCATGATGGAAAGCTGGGTTTACACTTTCTTCTAGGGTCTCTAGTCTATGCCTAGTCCTTGATCCACTTTGAGTTTTTACACCTTTATTTTTTAAAAGGCTTGAGAAATACTCATTTTGTTATCATCACACTTAAAGTTTGAAGGGTGATCTTTTCTTTTGTCTTGAAGTTTAAGAAATTTGTAATTCCTGTACTGTTAAGACTGTTAGCATTGAAAAACTATGGGGGGTCATTTAAAAGTCTCATACAAAAACCTGACAGAGATAGCATGAAAATCTTAAAGTATTAGCAAATCTATCAGGAATTAAAGAAATAATACATATACCAAGGCCAGATGGACATACAAGGAGAATTCATAGCAAGGAAAATATGTCATTTATTGCATTAGTATAGTAGAAATCACATGGTGATCTTATAAATATAATTTGATTTGTGATAATATTTCTGATTTTTAAACTGCAGCCAAGTTAGGAATAAATAGAAGGAAATGTTCTTAAATTGAAGAGTGTTCATCAGAAACCAAAGGTAGGGTTGGGGATATAGYTCACCAGTAGACCACTTGCTAGCATACAAAAGGCTCTGGGTTCAATCCCCAGCAAAAAGAAAATGATGCAAAAAACCAAAGACAAATATATTTAATGGTGAAACATAAGTAGTATCACTATTAAATTCAAGAACAAGAGAAGTATGACTACTGTCATAGCTATTATTCAACATTGTGTTAGAGTTGCAGCCAGCTTGATAAGAATGAAATGCGTGAATATTAGAATAGAGGCAAAATTATGATTGAAGATGACAATTTTTATTTGGAAAAATCCAAAATAATTAACTGAATAACTATTACGAGCAATAAGTTTAATAAAGTAACCTGACTATAAGATAAATATACTTTAGTCGGTAGCTTCTTATATATACACATTGTATACAAGAATTAAATATAAATTTAATTAAAAATATTTTAGTCTCAGTATCTATAAGACTTTTTTTTTTTTTTTTTTTTGGTGCTGGGGATTAAACCCAGGACCCTGTGCATACACGGCAAGCACTCTACCAATTGAGCTATATCCCCAACCCAATATCTATAAAACTTTAAAAATTAGGATTACATTTATCAGAAAGCTTGTATGATGATAATTTTACTTCTGTCATTACCACAAGTAGGACTATTCATCATTCTAGCATCCCAGTCATGTTCCTTTAAAACATACAAAAATGCCACACAGGCAGTGTGCTTGAGTTATTATAAAATTATAGTCAAAAAAGTTCTACTTAATGAAAACCTATTCTGTAACTAACCAATGACATGGGGGAAGTGTTACTTTGGGTAGGCGAGCCTGGTTTTTAAAGGAAGAAACAAAATGCTATCAGTATTAGGGGTGTATCTTATTTGCACACAGTGTCTTACTAATAGACATAGACCAAGTGACCACTTCACATCTATGAGCTTCAGTTTCCCACTTATAAATTGTAAATTTTTCTTTCTAGAGTTGCTTGAGGATTAAATGAGGTAAAACATGTAAAGTGCTTAAAACTGTGCCTAGCATCAAGAATGTGTGTTGATACTGTTTTTAAAATTTAAAAAAAAAAAATCATGTTGATTTTAGATGAATTTTAACTAAATTTTCTTCTCATGCAGAAGACTTAACCAGTGATTCATGTGATGATGTTCTAAATGCTGAACAACTTCAGAAACTCCTTTACCTGCTTGAATCAACTGAGGATCCTGTAATTATGGAAGGAGCCTTGGTCACTCTGGGCAACAATGCAGCGTTTTCAGCTAACCAAGTAAGTGCCCTCATTCAGCAAACAAGCTCCTTCTATTATTACACACTAGCAGTAATTGTGACCCTAGAAAAGTTACTTAATCTCCTAGAGCCTCAATTTTCTCCTCACTTATGCCTACAACATAATGTTTGTTTACTTCTGAAAACACAGCCTAGCAGTAATATGATTATTAATATGTTGCTAGATCCCTATGAAGCTGRTTACTGGCATTGCATATTATAGTAAGTTTATCCAACATTTATCAGTGTTAGCAGTGCTTCAATAAAATAATAAAAGCATCTAACATTTAAGTACATGCTTTAAGTTGTGTAATAGATCTTTGCAGTATGGTTCTGATGCAGATGGTCCCTGGATCACTCTGTTAACTCCTAAATCAATGTAAGTAGCTTTTACAAGTAGAGACTTAACACCAAGACCAAAGAGCTTTATTTGAATACTTCCTGTTCCTCCTCCCTGCTTCCCCATAGAGAACAAGTCAAAACATTTTTATAATTTTTTAAATATCATGCCATTTGTTAACATCATAAATGCAAGGATATTCAGAATTTATACTTTCAGTCCAGTTTTCTCCAGAATGACAGGATTTACTGATTTTTAAGGAGATATACAAAATATTTATACATTATTCTATTTCAGTTGCAAGTGACAGAATCCCGGTTATTTTAAGCCCAAAAGGGAAAATATTGGACTTCTAATAATAGCATTGGCATCAGGCACAATTGAATGTAGTTCAAGGTTGTACTTTTGGCTTTGCTTATGCCAGCTTTTTATGTATTGGTCTTTGGCCCAGGAAGATTTGCTTCAATGAATGGAAAGAAAGCCGTTAGCCTCTTAGGCCTTCATCCTTATGGCTCATGATCCAGAATGTAACATTGTTCTCCCAGGATTAGGTACCTACCCTTTGGATCAGTCTCTGAGGCAAAGGACCATGGACCATGATTAGTGAGGCCTGGCTTACATGCAGGATGTGTGTGCCACACTAGCAACACAATTAGACAGTAAACACAGTTGGCCGACAGTCTCACCAGGGGACTGTGTGGAATAGAGGAGGTACCAGTCTGACCCAGTGGGAAAAGGAGCACTAGGCAATAAAAGAGTAGATGGTGACTAAATTGTTAACTTGCCTGTATTGGAATATTTCGATGCCATAGTTTCCTATCCTTCTGAAACAAGTTGTAGTTAGAGTGGGTCAGTAGCCACTGGTGAACAAGTATTCCCTTGAGCAATGGCAATCATTGCTCCTCACCATCAATTATAGTGCCTAGATGTGCTTTAGCAGTAGTCATGGTGCTTAAGGATCTTTTATGACAGACTTCATGTAGCATGGTGGCCCTAAGAATATGCTGTTTAGTGACGTAGCCCTATTAGTTTGTGTTAAGCACATTCTATGATGTTTGCACAGTGATGAAATAACCTAATAAGCCATATCTCAGAACATGTCCCTGTGGTTACATTGCATAACTACACAGAAAAGGGCGGGGGCACTGTTTCCTAGTAATAGCAAGTCCTTCAAAAAACCTGGAACTGCAGAGGGAAGTTTCTTTTTCTACAATGCTAAGCTCACCTTTAACATAGAGTATTGGGCAATTTGTTAAAAAGTAGATGATGGCAGTCTTTTTTTTTTTTTTTCTTTTTCTGACAGAATGACATGTCTGGCATGAGAAGAGTAATTTTCAGCTTATTTTTCTTATGAGAATTAAAGCAACTGATAACTTCTTTCAATCTTGGGACCAATTGCACATGGTAATTCAGGGTGGCAATTAATTATGCAAAAAATCGAATGGTTTTTCCTCAGAAAATCTGGGCACCACTTTCCAAACTGTGCGAAACTCTAATTCTGCAAGATATTAATGTATTGCTTTGACTTCCACCACTGAAAAATGACCCTTTTGTGTATAGTTCACAGAACTACACTAGTCATTACTCCTTCTTAAGAGATTCCCATTGTACATGAATATGTTACTGCCTCACAATAAAGAAACGTTTTCCCTTGTTATACCCAGAGTTCCCCAAACTCACATAATTATTGAACACCCCCCTTTTTAATGAGACGTCTGTTAACAACTTGAAGGACTCATGTTCCAAAAAATACACATTACAGACACTGTATTCTAAATCTTAACACTTTTCCAAGTTTGCCTGTAATAAAGAAGTCACATAACTCATTTCAAAGTAAAATAATTTTATTTGTTAACTGCTTCAAAATCATTATAGTAACTGCAAATCTTCATTGTATAACTATAGTACAAATAATCACATATCTTGATAATTTTATTTTCAATTGCTTTTCTTTACCCACAGAATTATGTGTAGACAATTGGGTCATCAATAGACAATAGTTGCTGGGCACAATGGCATGCTCCTGTAATCCCAGAGGCTTGGGAGGCTGCGGTAGGAGGATCATGAGTTCAAAGCCAGCCTCAGCAACTTAGCAAGGCCCTAACCAACTCAGCAAGACCCTGTCTCAAAATAAAATATTAAAAGGGCTGGGGATGTGGTTCAGTGGTTGAATGCCCCAAAGTTCAATCCTTGGTACCCAAAAAGGAAAAAAAAAATAGACAGTAGTTGTATACTATGTATTGCAAAAAGGTAGAAGAAAGGATTTCAAATATTTTCACCATAAAGAAGTGATAAATATTTAAAGAAATAGTACATTTAACCTGGTTATGATGAACCCAGCCTAATTCCATCTTAAGATTGGGAGCCATCTTGACACAAGGTCATGAAAAGTTCAGTTCTGTTTACTGTAAAATAACAAGATTTATATTTGGCCTGACCACACTTTGATATTTTAAACTTGCTTGGAACTCCTGCCTGTGCTTTAAACTTACCCATGCGTGGCTCTCCCTGACCAGATAACAGCCCTCCCTGAAATCTCAGCTGCTCCTCATTAACTTTGATATTGGTAAGGAACAACCATAGCATGCTTTAGCTCATTTAAAGGAGGCTGGGCATGAGCCTGGAAAGGTAGGCAGAGTTTACTCTGCTATCCATCAACCTTCAGTGGCTGCTGCTGCTATTTTTTTTTTTTTTCCTTCTTGGTGGTGCTGGGGATTGAACCCGGGACCTTGTACATGCAAGGCAAACACTCTACCAACTGAGCCATATCCCCAGCCCAAACTTTGAGATGTTAAGTTTACTTCCCACTTTGAGATGTTAAGCTATGTAGATCATTAACCTGCTGTCTGCCCTTGTATTACGCTTATCAGAACCCTGTCAGCTGTAAGCTTCCAAGATACTCACCTTTGTGACTTTTCTTTTAGACCAGAGGCTGTCCTCTGGCCCTGTATTTGGGTGAGGCAGTCACTGATCAGCTCTCTTGTGTACACAACATAAGCTTGCTTTAATTTGGTTTAAAATTGGAGTGGGTGGTCTTTTCTTTGCAAGGTGGGTTCAACAATTACACAATATATAAATGTATCAATACAAAGTATTCCATTAATATGTATAATTTTTGTTTTTATGTAAGAGATTAAAATTTTAAAAAAATATTAGGTTTTCTTAGAAAGATTTTTTTTTCAGTTTTAGGTGGACACAATATCTTTATTTTATTTTTATGTGGTGCCAAGAATTGAACCCAGTGCCTCACGCATGCTAGGCACACATGCTACCACTTAAGCCACATCCCCAGCTCCAGAAAGATTTTTATATGGGAAAGTATTTCTTAAAAGTGACTTTTTTTTAAATGATTAACTTACTTTTGTATTTGTAGATCTCACACAGTTCAATGAGGGGATGTATATTGAAGTTATGTTCCTGTTTGTTTCCCCCCCTTCTAGGCTGTTATTCGTGAATTAGGTGGTATTCCAATTGTTGGAGACAAAATCAACCATCCAAACCACAGTATTAAAGAGAAAGCTTTAAATGCACTAAATAACCTGAGTGTGAATGTTGAAAATCAAATCAAAATAAAGGTAAGCTGTCTGAAATAAAAAATATATAACGTTTTCTACATATAAAAGGGAAAATAATAAAACAGTAAATAATGAAGCTTCATTAGACTATCCTGTAAAACTTCATGGCAAGAATTAACTTCAAAGGAATAGAGAATAAAGCAGAGGAGGGAGGAACCTGAACTAGTCTGAAAGAAGTACAAGAAACTTTTATAAATGGAGTTCAGTTTAATGCAAAGGTGCTAAAAGAACCAAGCCAGAGGGGGTGGGGTTGTAGTTCAGTGGAAACGTACTTGCCTGGTGTGTGTAAGGCATAAAAATAAATAAATAAATAAGAACCAGGCCAGAATTAGAAAACTTCAGAAGGACTAAATAAAAAATTATATGAATTGAATTCAACATTTATTGAACAACTGCTTTGTAGTACAGAGTATAGGCATGAATAGAATACTTGCTCTAAGAAAGTCAAGGTGGGGTAAGGCAAATCCATAAATATTTATGATTCAAGACAGAAGATGATGGATTGCTTTAAGGAAGGATAGGTAAAACATTGTTGAGTACATGGAAAGGAGAGATTGCCATCCAAAAATATCTGTAAGAGGTGGAATCTGACCTGGCTCTTAGAAATGTCTAAGGTGTCTATAGGTAGAGATGAAGAAGGGAAGAATTTTTTTTTTTAAAACAAGGAGAGAATTCTAAAAGAAAAGAATTAGTTGAAGTGGGCACAGATCCAAAAATTACGGAGCTGCCCCATTGGGTAAGCTTGTTACTAGAATTGAAATGGTAAAAAGATTCATATACAATGAGGATGGAAATATTCAACACATTTTAGTAAGTGCTTTGAAAGACATTGGCATCTTATAAAAATAGGTGACTTATAAACAACTAAAAAAAGGTCACTTTTTAAAAAATGATTTTATTGTATATGGACACAGTACCTTCATTTTGTTTATTTATTTTTTTTATGTCGTTCTGGGGAACGAACCCAGTGCCTCACACATGCAAAGGTAAGTGCTTTACCACTGAGCCACAATCCCAGCCCCTAAAAAAATGCCACTTTTAAAGGATAGAGTATGTAATAAAATTGTAAGCAGTGAAAGCCAGTTGACTTGTAGATATAATTTAGAGCTTAAATGTTTAGATTAAAAATTCAATCTCTTTATTGTCATTACTGTCTTTGGCAACATGGATATATTTATTTATTTATTTTCTTTAAAATGGCTAATTGGAATGTTGGTCATTTCTTAGCACTTCAAATTAGAAAATTTTTCTTACTAGTTTTAAATTTTGGTGGAGTTTCGATTTAGTAATGTGAATATCAATTTTCTGTGAAACATAATTTTTCCAAGCTAGAAAGATCATGGCCATACACTGTTTTTCTGAAAACAGAATTTCAGAAAACTTTTCATCATACTGGTTTTGTTCTCCCATGTGTGAAATAGGAGTATTACCAGCATTACATTCATTACTTTAGGCCAGTGGTGGTTAACAACAATATGAAGGGATAAATGCGTGTGTGTGCACGTGCGAGCACGTGCTCACGTGTGCATGCACGCTTACATATAGATAGATAGGTAGAAAGATAGATAGATAGATGTATGTAAGAAAAACCTTTGGCTAAATATAATTTTGCTCTGCTTTTTTTTTGTTTTTTTTTTGGTACCAGGGATTGAACCCAGGGGCACTCAACCACTGAGCCACATCCCTAGCCCTAGTTTGTATTTTATTTAAAGACAGGGTCTCACTGAGTTGTTTAGCACCTCACCATTGCTGAGGCTGGCTTTGAACTCATGATCCTCCTATCTCAGTCTCCCAAGCTTCTGGCATTACAGGCATGTGCCACCATGCCCTGCTCTGCTTACTTTTGGTAGAAATAACTCTAAAGAAAAGTTCTACTTCATGTTGTTCCCCCATTCTTTACTTCTGAAATGGTGAAATTCTTAAAACCCTTCTGCTAAGTTATTTACCATGATACAAAATGGCTATGCATATCTTCCTCCCTGAACTTATTGTACCCAGACCAGTTTTAAAAAGTGGATTGAATTGGGAGGCTCCCTTCAAGAAAGGCCACTGGTGTTCAGAGCATGATCTCTGGACTTGGACATTGTCCCCCACCTGCTAGTTGACATTATACAGGGTCCTAAGCTCCTTAAAGACTTTAAATTCTCTGGATGTAAGTTAACCATTATAACCCCCACCTCATTAAAGTTGACTTCAGGATTATATGAGGTGTATTTTTAAAATGCTCAGCACAATGCCAGGAATTAACAAAAGCAGCTTTAAAATGTCATCAAAGTTTGAGGGCTGGGTAGAAATGTCATCTTTGGCCAGGTGCCTATAATCCCAGCAGCTAGGGAGGCTGAGGCAGGAGGATAGCAAGTTCAAAGCCAGCATCAGCAAAAGCGAAGTACTAAGAAACTTAGTGAGACCCTGCCTCTAAATAAAATACAAAATAGGGCTGGGGGGCTGGGGATGTGGCTCAAGCGGTAGCGCGCTCACCTGGCATGCGTGCGGCCCGGGTTCGATCCTCAGCACCACATACCAACAAAGATGTTGTGTC